AAATTCACAGTTCCGGCAAAGCCTGTGCCAGCTCGGAAAGACAACAAACTTGCACATGTGATTATCAATGAAGATAGAGACAAGAAGTTTGCTAAAAATCAGGTAATGTGGTGATCCATTGTGTTAGAACAATGATGCATTGTTCTTAAGACAATGGTTATATTGTCTTTATATTGTCTGAGAACAATGCCTTATATATTGTCTGAGAATAATGCTTTATTGTCTGAGAACAATGGCTTCATTGTTTCAGAACAATGACTCTATTGGCTGTTCAATATTTTACTATCAATGTGTTTTTCATTTTAGGTTAGCCAATTGCCGTTCCCATTCACATCACGTGATCAATGGGAGCGAAGTGTGCGCGTTCCTCTAGGAAAGGACTGGAACACCACCTCAGTTCACCAAAAGCTGATCAAACCGCGTATTGTGACCTTGCCTGGGACAATTATCGAACCTATCAAACCAGCTAAAGGAGTACAGCGATCAGCTGTTGTTGAGGACAGCCGTAAACAACGTCACGGTAGAAAGAAAGGCACCAAAACAATGGGGTCTGGTATTGAAATACACGACTAATGATGTCATGCATATCCTTGAATATGATTGGATGTTAATGAAAATTTTATAGATCTCAGCAATTAAAGTGTATTACTGTCGTTTGCTTGAAACATTTTCTATTCTCTTGTTTGTAACAAGCATATGAAGGTTTCAGAGGTTGGCTGATATTTTGATTTGGGACTTTTCATCGTTCGCTGGCAACGACGGTACATGACTAAAACACTGATCTTTATACGTTTTTTCTTCACTAGAGTGTTGACCATCATTTTCAAGCTCGTTCCCAGTCTTGTAATGTCCCCCTCGCAAATATTGCGCAACAATTCAACATGCATATTTAAAATTTTTGTTTTTACTGAATGAACTTGTACCGCGCGTGGCTTTTGTTTGAAAATACATCGTTCTATAAAAGAATAGAAAGTTATTTGTAGCTGCTACAATTTTTAAAACTGTGCTCTGTAAGGTATAATTTTTTGAGAGCTGTCTGTCGTATGTCTATTAATTTTGCCGGCGGGTTTGAGGGCATGTGAGTGATTGGACTTTCGGACTGCGGAGGAATCGTGTGTTGTGTTCTGGTATTACCTGTAATTTCCATTAAAAGTTCAAGCTTTGGTATGTATTTGCTATTTTTTATGTATTTTTTATTAGAGCAGAGTGTAAAAAATAATTATTTCTGCTTTGAGAAAATTTCTAATAACGTGTTGCAAATATGTATAAATAATAAATTTTCTTCTGTCTGTCCCACATCTAGCTCTTGACAAGCACTCATTTGCTTTATTTGTTTGAGTCAGCAGTGCTGCAACAAATGATAGCTGACTTGATATGTTCTCTTATAATTTCTGATACTGTAACTGCCAGTTGCCAGTTGGTTGACCAGGAGTTGCACCATGGCTGTCACCTGGTTTCCATTTGGTTGTGACATTTGTTAACATAAGTTCTCTGTAGGTTTGCATGGCAATATAAAAGATATAATACTACCATTTGCAAACAACTGCAACACCCAAACTTTTTTCACGTTTGATTTTGCAGTTGCTTGCAAATGGTAGTATTAATTGTTAACATGTCAAGGTCATCATAAGTCGGTTTTCCACTAATTGGAATTTTGCACACACAGTAGAATTTTGCACACACAGTGGAATTTTTCCACCCGAGAAATCACAAGATAAATGCCCCGTGCATTTTTTCTCCACATGCAAAATTCTGCATTGTGGAAAACCGGCTGGCCGCCTCGATTCCAAGTTATTGTTTTGTGTGCACAGACAGGCAAATTGGGTTGTTCTAGAAAAGATGCACACTTCAATCTGTATTAGAAGCTAACAATTTAAACTTCACAATTGAGGAAAGTATGCATACAATACATGGTGACAATGTTGTTTATTTTCAGTTTTCTAGCAGAGAGATTCAGGGTTATGTCTTCATTAAAAAGTTTCAAAAGATCCTGGCTTGTTTGGATCTGGCTTGTCACAGTGTTTTTTCTAAGTGGTCTCATTGTGAATTCCATTCAAATACTTCTACTGCCGTTATGGTATATTTCACACAATGTTTTCAGACGTGTCAATGCTGTGTTGTGTTACTCACACTGGGCAAGTACGTAAAAGATTCTATATTGTTAATTTGCATTGTTGGGCGCTGACATTCACAGCACAGTGGTACAACTCGGTTGCATTTTCCTCCTGTGTTAGCAGATGACAATTGCTGCTCCTCTCAGGATAGCGGTTCAGAACTGTTGGAGCCATCCAGTCCTGTATACAGTAGTAACTCCTCTGGATGAGTGAGGGACAATTCCCTTATTCAAATTCCTATAGGAGATCCTATAGGAATTTTACTAAATAGACTATTCCCATAGGAATTTCTTTAACTTCCTTCCAACTTTAGTTTACTTGGTATAAGCGCTTTTTAGTCATCTGCTAACTGGGTCCTCATCTTATTCTTAGTGTTGACATTTGTTGGTGAATGGTGGGGACAACTTGACATAAAGTTTTATGGCAAGAAGGAAGATTATGAACTGATCGGCAAGGAACATGCCTTGGCTTTACCAAACCATCGTAGTGATATTGATTGGATGGTAGGATGGATCCTTTGTGAGAGAACTGGAATACTTGGGGTAATTAAATATATTATAATTATTTGTGGTGATGCATGATATATGATAACAAAACTGAACAAAACTAAGTAACTTCATTAATGAAAATTGTTCTAGTTTTAGTGTGTGTGGAAAACTATTTAATTAATTTACATTCGGCAATGCCGACCTATCAACGTCCCAGGTCGGCAAATTTTTGCGGACCTTAATTCAGCCAAAGTAAGAATTTTTTGGTGCTGATTGCTGTTAAAAAGTCAGCAATTATAGAATTCGATTCGTAGTTCGATTAACTAAACACACTTTAGTGTAAGGTTTAAAAATTGACAGGTGTTCTATATATAATTTAGGTCAGACTCCAAAAGAAAAGCCGTCATGTTACTGTAGTTCGCGTTTCCACGGAAAAAGGCATGCTTTTTTTCTGATTTCAATGATTCGCAAATACGTGATTATACTAGTGCTCCAAGACATGCATGGAAACAGATTTTAAAAAATGCCGAGATGTTGCCGACCTAGGTCAGATTTAGGTTGGCATTTTTTTGCCGACCTCAATTTTGACTGTTTTCGAGGGCTGTATTTTTTGACATGTTTTATAATAATCTGAATGCCACAGATTTGGTATATTTTATGTCCTAGGGACCATTCATTATTAATACAGGAGAGGGGAGGGGGGGGGGCTTGTAAGAATCTGGAAAAAGCAATATAGTAAAGTATACATTCCCCTTCGGTCAGACAAAGGAAAACATAAAATCCCCCCTCTACTACGGTTTGAAATATTTACATCCCCCCTCTTTCTTTTCTTTACCACAAATTAATATTTTATATGTTTTCCATATAAAAAGGCTGATGAATATAAGATATGAATTGAATATTCTTTGGCATGTATTGGTCATACTGTATATTAAAAGAATAATTACGATCTCAACTCTTATATACTACTCATAGATTATGTCCAGTGGCATAGCCATGCAGTCCAATGATTCAACCCCGCTATGCAAATATTGTCGTGTTTATAAAATATCAACACAATTAATTTGTAAAGAAATCAATAATGATTTGAAATTTGCATAGCGGGACTAAATCTTCGGGCTGGCTATGCCACTGATTATGTCTTTGTAATTTAAAAAGTGGTCATTACACTGATAGCACTATTTAACCAGGAGCAATGTGTCTTGGTGCATCCTACTTTGTTTATTTTACTCTGTCTATAATCAACCCCCAGGTGATTTTACTTGCTAGGGGGTAGCCTGCGAACAGGCTCTCAAGCTGAATTGAGAGCCTGCATCGATGACTAATGAATTTGAATATCTGCGTCTTAAATCGTGACGCGAAATTCTCATTGGTCAGATGCTATAATTTATATGTTTCCACTGAGCTCTATATATGTCAACTGCTGAAGCACTATGCATAAAAAACACATTAACTGCTCAAATTGGTCTTGGCCATCTTATCTCAAAGCACGAAATGTTCTGTTTTGAGAAAACAGTATTTAAAACATTTGAACTTTTGCTTGAATATCTTATATTTTGAAAAACAGTATAAACTGTACGGTCTAAATTTAGTTTGCACGGTCTAAATTTAGTTTGCACGAAAGTTGTAAACAACACCATATAAGGATAGACATTCCATATTTGGAAAAACGAACGTTACGGGGCAGATATTCAAATTCATTAGTCATCGATGCAGGCTCTCAATTCAGCTTGAGAGCCTGTTTGCAGGCTAGCTAGGGGGAGAACATTGCACCTCATGGGTAAATGAAAACTATTATATTACAGCTGTTTTTCATATGTCACATGATATCAAATAATTGAGTAAAATATATGCACCCCCCCTCTCCATCATTAAAGAATTCTTACATCCCCCCTAAAATATTTGCTCAAAAATATCTGATCCCCCCCCCCCCTGGAAAGGATCACAAAGTTAGCCCCAGTTTCTCATCAGTTTTGAAAGAATTACAAAATTGTCCTCATGGAAAATGGGGCTCCAGACCTCACCATGCCCCCCCCCCCCCGTGGCTACGCTTTGCCAGAACATTGGGAAGGTGGGTGAACATAAACTAACCACTGTACTACAAATGTATAATCCTGTTTATTCATTGAGCTGTGCATACACATGCAACCACTGGTTAAATTTTAAATATTTAATCTCCCAGGGTACCAAATGCTACATGAAAGGCTTCCTCAAATTCTTACCTGTGATTGGCTGGATGTGGTGGTTTGCGGAGTATGTATTTTTAAAAAGAAACTGGGACTCTGATGTTCCTGTCTTGAAGAAGAGTTTGGAACAGTTGAATGACTTTCCTATACCATTTTTTGTGAGTATTTGTTTTGGGGAATAGTGGAACCCACTTTGTGATGAGTGAGCATTGTAAGTCCTATTAATTAAAAACTATTATGTCTTGTTTTTAGCTTGGTATATTCCCAGAAGGTACTCGTTTCACAGAAGCCAAACATCTGAACAGTTTGGAATTTACAAGGTCAAGAGGATTGCCTGAATTGCAACATCATCTTTTTCCAAGAACTAAAGGTGTTGCAATTACTCTAAAATATCTTAAAGACGTAGGTAAGTTTCCGTGAAATGATTTGTGTAGTTTGGATGTAATCACAACATGTAAAACTTGTTTTCTACTTGCCTTCATTTTTCTGAGAAAAATACCTCTATCACTGCGACATTAGCCACGCATGCACAGACGACCACACTTCGGTTGCTTCCCTTGAAACTTTTTGGCAAAACCCATAACCAGTCGGCCGTGTAAGAAACTAAGTAAGGCCAGGATCAAAGGTCGAACTTTTCATGTGCCGAACCTAATGTTAATGAGCTAAGTTCTTTGTTTCACTTCATTTGCATTAGGTTCGGCACATGAAAAGTTCGACGTTTGACCGTGGCCTAAGGGATAAAACATAAACCGAATATCGTCATTCATCTCACTCGTTATACACTACATTATAAGAAAGGTCTATTGACAGCTCCGGATCTGTTCTGCAGCCACACAACTATTCAGTAATTTTTGTCCATTTTATTAATTAACTTGCAAAAGAAGAGTTACATTCTACATGACATTTACAAATGAGACTGTTATAATGTGAACTCTGGAAACGTTCAGCTAAAGCCTGGTTCACATATATGCCTGCGACGTACCGGCGACGATGCCGGTGGTAGCTTAAAACGTAAATTATGTGAATATTTGTTCGCCGATTGCCTCCAGTGCCACAGTTACATCGGCGGTAGGCCGATTGTTGACTTGAGTTCAACTTTCCCGGTATTTCGGCGGCAAGTTGAGGCATAATGATACAGTCGCAGGCATGCCGCAGGTATATGTGAACCAGGCTTAACTAGTATATGGCTATCAGTACTCTATGTGCGGTAACTCAAGAGATATTAGTGCTGTCATTAAACGCGGTAACCAACAATCTGAAGTGACGCGTGGAAGCCGCTTCCTTGGGCATAAGCAGTAATTTCTCTTCCCTTGCTTCCAGTGCCAGGTGCCCCAGGCTCCACAGGGAGGGAAATATTCTCTGAATTGTAGGCCCACGCTTCTTGCTGGTAAACGTGGCAGAATAACCTCCTTTCGATTTTCCCATTTGGGACGGTAACAGATAGAACCAGTTCACCATCTTCATCTTTGCCTGGAACGTATCCAGAGCGAATCTTGGCATAGACAATAACTTCAGAGGCATGGCTCGGCACACCCTCCTTTTCTACATCTATCTTCAAATCCTCGCCAGGTTTAACATTGGACACTTTGCCGCCAAATGGATAGAGTCCCGGCATCTGAAAGAAGAAAAAAATATATATACAGTACCCTGAGACTACCCTTGACGGCTTGACCTCAAGTGTTTAGTTGGGGATCTTTGCGAGCCTGTCATGTCGTATTGAAAGACGTATTCTGTAAGCTTAGCATAACAAACTTGCTGAAACAGAGCAAATGCACAAGTTGCAGAATTCTATATAAATACACTGAAAACATACCTTCGCTACTTCTTATGTGTCTTTCTACTGGTACTGCCACTTTGCCTTGTCCCGATTTAACTTGAAACGCACAATGAACTCCCTCTTTTTATAAGCAACCGCCTCATGCATTATTCTAGAGGGAGCATTCCGGCTGTTTCCCATCCATTTTAATTGACGCCTTGGGCATTCTTCCATTTACGTTTTTTGAGACAATAAGATTGTTTGCAGGAAGAACTCCTACAAGAAATGCTTTCAATCTTCGTAAAACTTATATCAAAGAACGAACTATGTTACGTAAAAAACAAATTCCGAAATGATCTTGAGAATACAAATATATGATTCAAAACTCCAATTACAATCTCTAATCAATCCTGTCAATCAATCTATCCTACTGTTCTAGCTATGGGAACTTTTTCGACCTCACCAAACTTCCCCCATGTATACATTCCGTTCCACCACGTTCGTACATTCCATCAAGTTCGTCTTTCCTGTCTTTCAAATGTTCAAGTTTACTGACGTTCTATTGTAACGTTATTGACTCTGTCAGACGATGGTCGAGGGGAGAGTGCTGGTATTCGATTGCTTATTCAGCGCTTGAGTAAGCTACATTAGGGCGGAATTTTCCGCGCGGAGCGGAATTTTTGTTTGTGTTGTGATTTCTCGGGTAGAACTAATTAGAAAAGACAAAGAGAAATTCCTCTCTGCGTGCAAAATTCCGCCGAGTGGAAAACCAGCTTAGGTTGCACCAAATCTGCGACGAGGACGCGATTAAAAAACAGTCGCTAATAATGGGAGACTAGTTTTACTTTGTTTTTCTCGTGTCCCTGGCTTTGTTTACCAACAACAATCCACAGATTTTGTTTTTCGTCGATTTGTGTATCTTAAGCTCCCTATTATGCAATTTTGCATACACGGGCTTGAACATATTTTCGGCAACTATGTTGAACTTGCAATTAGAACACTCGTGATTTACCTCAAAGACTTCCGAAACATAATATTTGCCATCTCAAATGATCAAACAACAAAACCATGTTTGCATTTTTTGACAGGTATTGTCAAAGATTTGCTTTGATATAAAGCAGACAAGTTGACTCATCTGAAGCCCGGTCTTGATATGGTCGTAACGGTCGTAAAGATTCTGATTGAGTCACGATCTTTGTCATCAGCCGAAATACATTTTAGAACTGAAAATACGCGGAGTGATTATAACTAGAGAATAGGTATGATTTATATGTGGTTTACAGGTATAAACTGTTATAAACTGGCCGTTGAGAAAGATCGTGACTCTATGATTACCACCATATGGAAACCAGGCTTAAATTTGAAATAAAGCAGACAAGCTGACCACAGAACTTCCCCCACGTGCCTACATTTACGCAGGCTAACCACGTTCGTTCAGAAGTGAACAGAACAGTCAAATTGTTGAATGGGACACAAAACGTTTAGGCTTCGGACCTTTCTGACCGGAAATGTCCATTTTCGCTAGATATTTGAGAAACAGCCCAGATCTTCCCATTGATACAGAGACAAAAATTGACAACCGCACAGGTCATTAAATGGAAAACGCCCTTAACATTGATTGATGCAGCGTCTTTATATAGGTTTCCTTTGACCTTACACTTGTACATGTTTACAACTTTACGTTAGTTTAAATTGCTAAGAAACTGATTTTCTACAGTTCCAGCCGTGTATGATATCGAGTCTGCGTATCCACAAGACAGTAATCCAACGATGAAACATTTGTTAGGAGGTGGCGAATGTGAGGTTCATCTTTTTGTAAGGTATGAACCATCTATTTGATATATGCACATGTGTTTTCTTTTACATTCGTTTTCAGTTATTCATTCTTTGGACATTATTTGACAGGCGTATCCCAATTGAAAACATTCCCTGCGGTTCAGATGAAGAAGTGTCGCAATGGTGCCGTCAGTTATTTGTTGAAAAGGTACACCACTGGGTACACAAACTAGACATCGCAGTTCAATAGGGTGCCTGTGCAAAACAAATGCACCACAACTCCACAAGCGCGAAAACACACTGTTGTTGGATAAATACCAAGGCTTATGATTGCGAACAAGCTAACAGAGTAAACAGACTAACAGAGTAAACAGACTAACAGAGTAAAGTCGGTAAATAGACTGACAAACTCGCGCACCGAATACGAAAACGATGGCCGATGCCTAAAGCCGGTTTTCCTCTAGCCGGAATTTTCCGCGCCGTGTGGAATTTTTCTTTGTCTTTTCTAATGAATCGTCAAAGAAAAATTCCGCTCCGCGCGCAAAATTCCTCCTGGTGGAAAACCGGCTTAACGATCGATGCGCAATCTGCAAAATGGATAATCATCATTAAAATTACTATGAGAATACTACTTCTATTTTCAGGACAAGGTTATGTCAGATTTTGCGAAGAATGGCGAATTTTCAGCAGAGCGTGTGGAGTTACCTAGGAAGAAGCGAAATCTTATCATTGTCATATGTTGGAATATTTTGTTAGCAATGCCAATATTTTATATTTTATATTCGTTACTACGGTCTAGTCTGATGGTTTCAGTCCCTACTGTGGCTGCCTGTCTTCTTATAGGTAGGTTGAAACAGTGATTTATTCGTATCGGTATGAGATGTCATTTCAAATCCTCCGAGTCGGACTGGGATTTCAAGTCCTCGCATTTTCATCCAGTAGAGTGTCTTCTCCGGAAGTTGAAAAGACAGTCTGAAGGCAGTAGAAACGTTCATGTTTTATGACATCACGGTGAAGCGTGGAAAGTGAAGTTAGTGAGCTGTGAACACGTCACAAGTTTATATCAAGACAGCCTAATAAGAGTGGTTGGAAACGACACAAGCGAAAATGAGTTTAATTCTGAAGGTTTTTTTATGGAAAAGAGCCATTGGCAATTTGTCAAACTAAATAAAGTTACTAATAAGTAAAATAACATACAAGTTCCACGCTGCATTCTTTCACCGTGACGTCATAAAACATGAACGTTTCTGCTGGCTTCAGACTGTCTTTTCAACTTCCGGAAAAGATACTCTACTGATTTCAGTCACAGAATAGATACCGGACCAGAAGTGTCACTCAGACGATATTTCGTCCCAAATTTTACGAGTGCTGACGTGAAATTTGCCATTATATGGGTCATCCTGGAGTGCACACGGACGTTTTTCATAGGACAAACATAGCCTTACATAGGTACAAAGTGCCGTGTGCACTCCAGGATGGCGTCATAACACATAAAAAATTTCGGACGTTTTTCCCAAGCCAAAACACATAGGAGTGTCCCTTCTGGTCTGGTATCTATTCTGTGTTTCGGTAACTATAACTGGCGGAAACCTAACCATACAGTGTGTGTGTTTCTGTTGCAGGTTACTTTTCAGTACGCGTGCTACTGCGCTTCAGTGATACAAAGAAAGGCAGCAAATTTGGTCTGAAACAAAATGGCACGAAGGAATCACCGAAGGAAGAGAAAAATGGTATACACGAAGTAAAAAAGATGGATTAAATCAACGTGCAAGGCACAGTATATCTTTTGTTTCTATTAATATATACTACTTGATCACAGAGCTAAATCACTTGCTCAACTCAAAGCTATCATGGAATCAAACATTTGAATTTTTTCTGCAAGCGGAGACGATATGTTGTACCCAGCACTTTATTCCTATAGCACCCTGCATATTGATTAGCATGCAAGTATTCTATAGCACCCTGCATATTGATTAGCATGCAAGTATTCTATAGCACCCTGCATATTGATTAGCACGCAAGTATAATATGAACCTTGTTATAAAATTATGTAAATAATGTTGAAATTTATCGGGCGAATACACACTCACATTCACTAGGATTTTAACATCATAAAATTTATTTTACATACAAATTAAGTGCGCACTTATTTGTTTAAAATTGATTTAAACGCAAAAATAATATACTTCAATAAATACTTTATTCTCCCTAAAAATTTACATATACCCTGTAAATAAGCCTATACATAATAAGAACAGTTACTATACACTAAACTAAACTACAGCATGTCTATTATTTATTGAAACTATCCCGAGTGCTGAGTTCGGACTTAAACGTAACAATGCCATAAGAACTTCGGCCATTGTCGGACGGTTGTCGGGCGTATCGTTAGTGTTTCGTTGCACGAGTTCTCGAAGATGTGCATTCGTGATTAATCGGATTTGCTCGCGGGTGTGACCAGGTACTGGCAGCTCACGGATACACATTTCGCAAAGAAGAAGTCCGAAGCTGTACACATCCACCTTAAAATGAAATAAAAAAATTCTGTGAGAAAAGCGCATGTTATGCTGAAGACCAGATTCATGCGATAAATTTATTCTTGAGTGCGGCATTTGAGAAAGCATCAAGATTTCACACGTTTCTGCGACATTTTTTTTTCGGTGTTGGCCTGTTGGGCAAACGTGAGAACATTTGATGAAATATCGGCGTTTCTCTGTAACGTCTATCTCTGTAACGTCTGTCTTTGCAACTGACCTAGCTGTTTCCGTTCCCTCAAACATTTCTTACAAATCCTTCAAAACTTAGAATTGACCTATGCTAAATTCCTACTGTGATCACAGAAACTTTGATAGTATAAATCACCCTTACAATAGCAAGAGTTGACAAACGGAGAAATGTTCAAGTTTGCCCAGGATTCAAAACTTACTCTATCTTAAATCAGGGCCGGATTTTGGTGGAAAGGTTGAGGTGGAAACTGGTTAGGGGAGGTGCAGCAATCCAGCTCATGCCCCCCATGGAATGTTAGGGCTTAGAATGTACCCCTGCCCCCATAAAGTCAACTACGTGGTGTATGCACGTATTCATGAATTATGACTGTACAACTCATCCAATGGACCTATTCCCTATGAAGAAAATTTTGATTTAGACAAGTGTAGACAAAGATTTCATCACAGCTTGAAAGAGCATCACAAAATTAGTAATATTCCGAAGTTTCGTTGCAAAATGTTGTAAAATGCGGATAATATAGCCCTGCGAAGTTTGCCGTTTTTCAGTCATATTTTGTATTACGCACGGGAAATTGATACCTTTTTTCAGAAAGCGGTATCAATTTCCCATGCGTAATACAAAATGACTGAAAAACGGCAAACTTCACAGGGCTATATTATCCGCATTTTACAACATTTTGCAACGAAACTTCGGAATATTACTAATTTTGTGATGCTCTTTCAAGCCGTGGTGAAATGTTTGTCTAGACTTGTGTAGCTCAAAATTGTGTTCATTAGGGAATAGGTCCATTTTGCCATTCAATACATTACTACAAAGTTTCTTTCAAAAAGTTCTTACAAACACAAGGAAATTTGTCAAATTTTAGCTTCCTTTCCCAAAGGGGGGGGGGGGGTGCATGGCTTTTCAGGGGAGGTGCAAAAAATCTCAGGGGAGGCGCAAAACAATCTCAAATTATCAACCAACCTTCGTTGACTGTCGTGACGTCACGGCCTCAGGGGCCGCGTAGATACATGCGCCAGGACTAACCGTCATGCATTGCCGCATGAAATTCGCAGCACCGTAGTCCGAGAGCTTCGCGCGATACGTATCTTCGCGTTTCCATAACAACACGTTGGTTGAACTAATATCGCGATGTATGATGGGAAAGGGTTTGTTCAAATGCAGGTAATTCAAAGCTCGGGAAACATCGGTGGCTATCGTGACAACTTCGTCGTGGCATAGCGACCGTTGTCCGAGGACAGCACGCAGATCTGTGTCTAATAATTCCGTCACTAGTAGTGCCAAGCCGTTATCATTAGTCGCGCCTATAAATTGCAGTAGATTAGGATGCCGACATCTCGATGCTATCTGCATTTCTCGTTCAAACAATCGTCTGTTATGAGGAGATACTATTAATTCGTGCATTTGTTTTATAGCAACCACCGTACCACGAAATTTCCCTTCTTTCACCCAACCCCAGGCCCCTTGACCGAGCACTTTCTCAGTGATCACAATCTCGTCACGTGATATTGTCCAATCACGTGGTTGCATTCTCGAGTACTCGTCAACAGTCTCCTGAGCGCGATGTAGTGCGCGGTTTGCATCCTGTAGTTGTTCACGAGTGGAGATGAGGAGCCTGCTACATTCCTCATGCTCTCGCTGTGTCCTTTGATGTTCATCGCTACTCCTAGCTATCCTTTCTTCATATTCGTTTCTTGTTGCAATCAACTCGTGTTCCAGCTCTGTATTGCGTTCAGCGGCGGCTGTTCTCAGTTCTCGTTCCTGAGTTAATGCTGAATCTTTCTGTCTAAGGTCGTCACGCAATGTTTCTAAAGTCGTTCGATAACTTTCAATTTCTTGTTGTAATGTCGTTACTCTCTCTCGTTCAGTTCGTAAAGACTCTTCGCTTTCCGTTAATCGATTGCGTACCTAGAAAATAGGACATGATTTCATTTTATCTCTGATCAAGCTTGTATTTAAGAGTGGGTACTCTTCACATTCGTACGCTGTCAAGACGCCAAGGCAGAAAACGTTGTTTTCGCAACAGAAATTCAGAAAAAATGTTTCTGGATTTTTTGGGATACGATTTTGAGCCTTAAAAATAGCCTTAATTTACATCATGTACGCAAAAAACGCACACAAACACACGACTACTATACAAAAATACGATGGTTGAGTATCCGCAACAGTCTAGGAGACCAGTTACTGCGGTCCCAAAAGACAATTACACAAATAAACAATGCAAATAACTAATAAACTATGAAACTAAAAACAGCATTTTATCGAGATAGTTAAAGTCCCCGCTCTATTGCATCTCAGGACAGATAATTTTATAAGTTCGTGGATTTCACAATCGTATGATGTTTCTAGTGCTGTAAAATAATAACTTTTCAATACAGTCTTGAACGAGCGCAGATTCTCCGTACTCTGTCAAGGTAGTCCACATTCTAATAGCTCTGATCCAAAAGATCTTTGGTAAACTGAAAAACACAGTAAAATATCTCACCTGATGTATGTCTTGTGCGAGTCGTTCATTCTCACTTCTACTACTGTTCAAAGATACGTTTAACTCTGACAATTCTCGTTCTAACTCGCTCATGCGAGATTCAGCAATAGCTTCACGCGTGTTTCGCACTAACAGTTCGCTATTGATCGCCTCGTATTGTCCCTCGAGATCACGTTTTGTTCGCTGTTCATCACGCAATGATGCACGTAACGTTCGTACGCTCTCACGTTCTTGCTGTAACTGTAAATCACGCAACTCTACAATCTGTCTTTGTTGAGATAACATGCTTTGTTTTTCTGCAATACAAGATTCTAGTTCAAGAATTTGTCTCGCATCTAATCTATTTTCCTCAAAACTTCGTTCGCTTGAAGGAGGACCATTTGGTTTTGTAGTCTTATCCGGCTCGTCCGTTGATACAACCTCTGAGTGATGGGTTTTTGGTATCGTATCTTTATTTTCAACTGCAGCTTTCTCTTCGGAGGCGGTCGGTCGCTCTTCGCTTTGACTTTCTGAAGATTTCGGGATGCTTTCGTTATTACTTAGTGTGCGTCGACGTTTTGCGACTGGTGATGAAGGTCTCTGTGATTCCTCGCTTTGGTCGAGTAAGATATCATTTTCTTTGGGAGGAAATAAACTACCTTCCTTTTCTATTTTAACTGCATTCTGCTTGTTTGTGTAGTTTTTCTACAATATAAAAGTTTTTTAATTTTAAAGCAATTGACATTTCATGGACAATAGGGAGGTTCAGATTTGACTTCCAAATGATACCACTGGCTTAGACGTACGCATCTGATTGGTTAATCGAATAGATCAAACGCATCTGATTGGTTAATCGGATAGATCAAACGCATCTGATTGGTTAATCGGATAGATCAAACGCATCTGATTGGTTAATCGGATAGATCAAACGCATCTGATTGGTTAATCGGATAGATCTCAAACGCATCTGATTGGTTCTGAATAGTCCATCAATGGTAACGGTAGTGGAAGCCAAATCTGTACCTCTCTAATAAGTTGCCACTCCAAGACTTCAGCAATTTTTGTGTACGTGAAATAATATGTACTATTTACAACATGAGCGGCCGTGTTGTATCGGACGCGAATGACGCTTAAAAAACGACTCATCTTATGAGTTCATTGGGGAAGTAATTTTAAAAATAAACGTTGTCTAAGCCGAGAAAATCAAAGTTAAAGTTTATGTAAATCAACATGAATCTGTATCACATATACAGACTCCTTCACGCCCATGATTTCTTTTGTATTTTCTTCATGAATTATTAATGAGTTTTTTAAACGCATTTATTTCTTAATCCGCGATTATCATGCACATCTAAATGATCTAATAAAAATTTGATTGACATAGAAATGAAGTAACAAAAGAGAGCATACGTTATTCTCCGTTTTGTGGTTAATTTGCCTCTTTCTGTTTTCTTTGACCACTTTCTTTTCATCTTCCACCAAACTGACTTCCTTTGTGACGTTTGTGTCATCAGTACAGCTATCCTCTCCGCTCAAAATACGCCCTGCTTTTATGGAACTAGAATTGTTAGAAAATTACATCTAACAATGTGGCGTTTCGATCTTATAACTGTGAAACTGTAATATATTTATGATAAAATAATAATATACATATTCACACCTTATCTTATCCCATCTTACATCCATTTCAAGTTCGTTTCGAAACTAAAATATATAAAACATTTCAGGCCATGCACATTTTTTGTTTAATTCACGTACATAAGATTAGTATTACTGGAAGTCTGTCGTGATATAAAGGTTGGTGATACCTACACTATTAAAGTGGTAATTTACATCATCAGGAATGATGTCGTACATTAGATGAACAATGACATGTAATTTCTTCGTTCCTTGAAAGAAAGAATTTGTATTAGGTAGACAGTGTTGCAGTATAGCCTTTGTTTTACGTTGTGTCATCTATAGCTAGGTCAGTGCAGGAGATAGTGGTCATAAATAGAGTTGCTGTGCAATGGTATCAAGCGCTTTAAAGCAAATAAATAGAATTGAAAGATGTGGTTGCTTCATTTGCAGTTCAGGGGACGGTTGTTCAAAGGTGGGTTAGCGCTAACCCTGGGTTAAAATTTAACCTGCTGTTTTAGTTTGTGTATTTCTGCACGTCTGTTTCTTTCAAAACTTCAGAGAAGTAAACTCCTATCGATCCAGACAAGATCTCTGAAGAAATATTTCAAAATTTATAGACAAGCTATCAGGAAATGTGCTTTGAATTTTAGTTGACCTCAATCACTGCCCCATAATGCTAATTACCTTTCAATTTGTTCAGCATTCCATTCTTACTGCTTTCAATGAGAGTTCTTGTGAAATTCTCGTTGATTACAGCCACAAATACGAATGGTGGTTCTGATAAATTCACCTAATGTTACAACAGAGTTAAAGTGATGTCACATTAGTATTTAAACATGCAATCAGGCAAAACATAGAACACACATGGGGTGTCGCTAGCCCTGTTTTAATGGAGGGGTGTAAGTGTAGTTTTGCTGTTTCCAAATTTTTTTGCTATAAATATTAGTTTTTAATCAGTGTAACTGATATATTTTAGGTTTTTTTCTTCCTAATCCAATTCATGTTTTGCTGACTACAAAAACAATTTCCAGACTGGGACTCGATAAGTTGCAGAATGTTTGGGGGGGGGGGGGTTATCCCCCCTCTAGCGACGCCCCTGAGAGCACATTTTAACTTTAGGTACCTTTATAGCAAAGAGTTCTTTGCATGGAATGCGTAGTGAGAGAAGTTCAGCAGGGATTTCTAGAGGATATAGGAGAAAGCTTTTACCAATCAAGATCATTTGTGATGATTATCTTTGAATTAAGTGAGGACATATATTAGTGAGTTTACCTTGTTTATTATTTGACAGCAGTTCCATTTCAATCAAAATTTTTCCAGCTTGTATCTACAATGTATGTTAATAGATGAAAGTATGTAAGAATATTAGTGTAAAAAGAAAGCAGGTTAACCTGTGACTTACTCTGAGTGGTTTTAAAGCTCTTCCTTCCAATTGACCGACCCTTAGTGCTGAAGCATGAAGAATGATGTAAACAGGCTTCTTTTTTGCAACATTTTCATGAGTCGTCTTAATTTTTACTCCAGATTGAGAAAGCTTATTGGTGCTGTTTTTCTTAAGCTGCAAGTTGACAGTAATATATTTAAATTATTCCCAATTTTTTGGGGATAAATTTCAGTTTTGCAAGATGAAGAATACCCTGGTTACCAGAGGTTCTTGTATCTTCCGCCCTATTCTCGCTCGTATCTAATGGGCGGTACAAGAATCTCTGGAACCAGGGTAGCTGAAGAATAAATTGTCTGATAGGACGTGGATGTCAAAGACGACATGAAAATTATGTGGCATATCCATACATGGGCAGAACATCTTTGACGTCTGCATCCTAGATCTAAATCTGTCTATTACCTCTTTCTGTCCAACTATAAATTTTTTACATCCCTTGTTTTCAACAGATTTCCCTCTGATTAATTCTGAAGTACTGGATGTAGAGCTACTGTTACTAGATGTCGCTGCGACATTTGCCTCTCCCGAACACACTCCTTCTTGATCTGACTGATTGTCGACATCCATATCTTCAACTTTGTCCAGAACTGATTTCTCATTTCTCTGTAACCTTATTAAGCCCATGTTATGCCTTGTTAACGAGCCCACCATATGATGCCTTGTTTCATCCCTATGTTCAGAATTCTTTAACCCTTGCAAGAGGTGTGGTGGACATGGACGAGAATGACTAGTTTCTAGGATTTATAAATTAACTGGTTACATATGGTCAGAAACAGCAAAAAAACATAACTTCATAGAGTATTGCTAACAGAGTGTGAATACTGTTTAAATAATTATTAAGTGCAAGCTCTTCCCCCCCCTGACAAGTAAAATCGTCTGGCATTAGACAGAGTAAAATAATAAAGTAAATCGCATCAGGGAACAATGCGACCCAATGGGTTAACTAGACACATGGGCAGATAGGCCAGTTAACCCATTAAGCACCAGCGCTCTCCCCATGACAAGTAAAATCGTCTGGTGTTAGACAGAGTAAAATAATAAAGCAGGGTGCATCAGGGCACAATGCAACTCAATGGGTTAAGAATAAATATTACCATTAATATGTAAGCATGCTTGCAGTTGAAAAGCCAATTGCAAAATGCTTTACCTATTGTGTTTTGAACATGTGTTTGTCCTGGCATATTTAGTTTATACATGGTTGACCATGTTTGATTTAAATTTCTTTGAGGCAAAGGTTTTGTGACAACAGGAGTTTCTCTTGCAGTAGGCTGATATCTTGCTGCTCTGATTCTCGTGCTAGAACGAACTGGTGATGATGTCCTTTTGGAATCACCAGGGGATCCACCGCTCGTTTTCTCAACAACCATTGTCTTGTTGTAAGGTTTTACATGTTTTCAACTGGAAAGAAAGGTAGTAAATAATCACATCGATTAGTGTTGAGTTAATGCTGTTAATATTAATATGTGGTTAACTATTAAATAAGGCAAATTTCTTATAATTTTTGCAAAAGGTTGTACGAAATCCTTAACGGTGCAGCAATTCCTTTTGTTACGTGATATTTTATTTCGGCAAGCTACCAGAAACCAGTGAATTATTAAATATATTTCAATACAATAACGTTTACGATACGTAATACTTCAACATCAACATATATGTTCACATAAAGTTTATATAAAAACAGGAAGAAATACTAATGTTTAAATTAAATAACAAAAATTGTTTGACATATTTTTATAGCATAGATACATACATACCCTCAAAATATATACAGACTATTCAAAACTAGTATAAAATTCTTCGATCGTGCTTATTTTAAATCCAAAACTGCAAAAAATTAGAGGCCATTGTGGGAAACTTTCATTTTAATAGAATGTTGATTGTTGACAAAACAAACGCACGCATAGATTTGTGAGGAAAACCGCATATAGAAACTGCATCCAGTGCAGTTCTCGTTGTTATTGCGATCAGTAGAAAATCAAACGCAAATCGCGCGAGGATAGCACGCGGGTGATACACGAGGGAAGCACGCGTGTATCACACGAGAGGATCACGCGAGGGAGCGCGCGAAATAATATAAAATTTCACAAAATGGCGAGAAATTCATCCCAACTTTTTATATAAAATGTTTAATTGTGTTTTGATGGAACTAGGCAATTTTTCATACAGCTAGACTTCTTCGAGACCAACAGAAGTAATGTCGCTGCTTTCTGGTATGTGAGAAATTTAAAATTTTAGTTTAATTCATGATATTTTCAAGGTTTTGTATTGTGATTTTTGGGGGGATTTTTGTGTCAAATAGCAAATAGGCCTTGAGGCTTTTGTTTATATATTTTTAATATTCTGTATTTTTTGATAAGGATATAATACATTAATACAGGCTAGTGGGTAGTTTTTAAGACAGTTTTAGTATTCATTGTTTCTTACTTTAAAGTACTTTTGTCTTTGGTACTTGATATATAAATAATGTCAAATTATATGAACATTGAACAGGTTTAAGAGTTTACTATTCCTACTTTCAGGTCTTGATAATCACGACAGAAACCCATGTAACAAGTGGGGGCGTTATTCTTCCGAAAAAACTACAGCGGGAGACTATTCTGGTAATCCTGAAAATGAGTAAGTTCATCATTGTATGCGTATGTTGTTTAACATACTATTTAAAACACAAGCAGGAGTGTTTTGTCAGAAATAAAGCACAAGAGCACAGCTCGAGTGTTTTCAAAGGTTCCAACCCTCCCGATATGAAAGCAACCCTCCCGGCCAAAGCAAATGCCTCCGCCCCGAATGAAAATATGAAAATTTGTCTCTGATCGAGGGGAAAGCGCTGGTGCTAAATGAATAATAAACCAAAGTTGATAACTCATGATGTATATTTTTATTCTAAAACAGTGTTGTTCAGTTGATCACATTGTCACCAACATATCAGCCTACAACAACAAGATGTATCCTTTTATGTTGAAATAGTTCTACATAATGAAAAAAAATAACACATGTGGATGCTTCTGTTAGGTACCCCGGGCTAATGCTGTGACCATTTGTTCTTTATTTGCCACATAGAGAAATGAGGCTTGAAATTTTAAATTTTCAGCACTGTCCAAGAATCTGATATCAGGGTCTGAAATTTAAATTAGGCAGTTGCGATATTGAAAAAAATCGATATATCGATATAAAAAAAAAATATCGATAATATCGACTATATCGAATTATGCAAATGAGAAAACATAATTTAGTCAACTTGCAGGTATACGCATCACAAACAGTTAAAAAGAAGCGCATGAAACCAGTCGTGGTACGTCTCAAAGATTTTATAACAATGGTTTATCCGTCAACTCAGCTTTTAATTTCAATTGTACACGCACTTGCATCATAAATTCGCAATTGCTGCCATACACACTTTGTCTAAACTTCACCGATGAAAACAATAATTGCCAAATAATCAGACATTAAGTTGTTTAGTTACAACTTTCGATATTTTTGATATGCGAAAAATTGAATATTGAATATTGATATTTTTGAAATATTGATATTTATCGAAAATATCGATATATCGCAACTGCCTAATTTAAATATCTTTTCAGTATCCAACTGGGATTCCAAGATTCAAAGTTTAGTATCCCTCCTGAGAATGCAGTATCCCACTTCTGGATACTGGTTACCATAAGTATTCTACCCTGTCCCATCCAATAACTCTCGCTGTTACAAATTACAGTAACAACAGGAGATTCAATGTTCAGTCAAGTTGTCAACAACTAGACAATTCATTAATCCACAAAAATGCACATTATATGAGGAAAGGCTTGGGTGGCAAACTCATAGTATTCAAAAGCTATCAGGAGACTGTCAGAGGTGCTTAACATTTTCCTAATGTTTGAAATTTTCTTAGTATCCAGTTGGGATATAAGTCATTCACAGTTTGATATCCAAAACCAGATTTTAGTATCCCGTGGATATCGGGATACTGCAAATTTCAGACCCTGGATATCCACCCAGTAAATCTACTATCATACACTTGGATAATAGATCAGCAGTAACCAAACACTGAAATAATTAAGGCAAAACATGCAAATTTGTAGACAAGCTCTTGGGAAGTTTGCTTTGAATTTTAGGTTAACATAGCAGGGTTTGTAGCAGTCTTTGAAATCCTTGAAAGTCTTTAAATTTGAATGCAGGTCTTTAAGGTCTTTGAAAAGTCTTTGAATTGTGTGAAAAAGCGAAGAAAGTCTTTAAAAGTCTTTAAAATTAATTCTTTAGTGAGTATTTGATTATACAATTCCCTAGCTAATAAAATAGATTGATTGAAGAGCAAGCAAGGTTTTCGCAAATATCGACGAAAAGGTACATTTTTAGATGTGATGTGGCGGGACTAATTACTGGGCAAAAATGGTGCTTATACACTCGCAATTTTTCGACAGCTGATTGCTGTCAAAGGTCTTTGGAAATAGGCAGAAAAAATCTTTGAAAGTCTTTGAATATTTTTGGTCTTGGAGGCAGGGATGGATCCAGCATGGTCTGGTAGGGGGGGGTGCTCTGCCAAAAAAAATTTCCCCCCCCCCCATCGACAACTTTTTAGGGAAATATTTTTTCCAGACGAGTACGTTGCAATTGCTTTCCAGTGACTTTACACATCCATCAACTTGCTTAATTTAACCACTGCAAAGTCTAGCTACAGTATTTGAATTGTAATTGTTGTTCACAGTTCACTTATCATCATGTTATTACTCAAATTACTGAATCTCATTTTGTCTCTGATAATTTTTTGCTTTATCATGAAAAATAGCACCCCCCTGGCCAGGGCTAGGAGGGGTGTGAACCCCCCCCCCCCGCACCCCCCAGTAAATCCATCCCTGCTTGGAGGCTACGAACCTTGCCTAGGATTAAGCTAACCTAGCTTTGAACAACCGGCCCCAGGAAAAGAAAACCTTAACATGAAAGAAAAACCTTAACATCATTTAGCTTTACGAAACCTTAGACAGCAGAAGCAAAAAGCAATAGAGATCATTGATGATAAAAATGACAGTAAGCTTGATGGATTTTAGTAATAAAAAGTCATTTTCAGTATAACATTGATTCTCTTGAATTTTATTTATGATTATTGAATTTTATTTATTTATAAAAAAAATGCTTTTTATTAATACAGGCAAACTTCGGAGCAACACTGATAAGAATCCCAAGGTAGGTTTCTATTAGATGTAAAAAAATAAAGTATTCTGGTTATTGGGATTATCCAGAATTGATTGGGTGATACAGGCTTTGTTTTCCTTCCTTTTTCCCCCTTAAAAGTTAAGGAGGGTCTTGTTTGTAGAAATCCATATTTTCAATATTTGATTTACATTATTGAAATTCCAGGATTACACAAAGATAGAAAATTCTTTATAATTTAATATATCTCCATATTTACAATTTCGTCTGCAGGATTTTCATGCACAGACATCTAACTTCACTATTCCCAAGACAAAGAAACAAACAAGAAATGGAAAAGCATGCAAGGAATCTCCACAAGGAGAGCGTCTACAAAGTAATGGTCATAGAAAAGTGCCGACGCAACTTCAACTTATGCCCGACGCTCAGGGTAGAGCTACCAAACGTACCAATGCGAGTGAAGGTAAAACACCAAAAAAATTAAGAAGGTCATGGGCACATACGCCAACACCTAGACGATCTGATGATGATGTTTCTCCTCGACAAAATGATGGTGGTAATTGTAGCCCTGAAAAAGTTAGTCCACCAGGTATGTGTATGTATATCTCACATGATTTCATGATCATATATTGAGAACAAAAAACCCTATACTCAGAGCCTGAAATAACGATCGGACATCGGACATTTTCCGACCAAAATAATCAGTGTTTCCGAACAAGTGCTAAACTAAAGAGTTTAGCATTTGCACATGATGTCACTACGAGTCATTAGGCACCATCTTGGTTGATTTTACAGCCATTTACAGCGAAGTAGTTGAGTTAATGAGTCTGGTTTGTTTTGAAAACATGTTACTGTATTATGGATAGTTTATGGTCTCTGGCTCAATACCACAAAGAATGAAGAATAAGAATTTTATAGTTGCCGCATGTATTTTGAAAATCATCCAATATGGCGTCGATTGCAAACGAGCAATTGGTCAGATATTTTTGTCCAGGTAGCCATTAACCTTCTTGAAAGGCTGGGCTAACCATTTAAGATGCATGCAATCCTCCTGCAAAGAACATTAATTTAAATATAAAAGATTTAACTATACTTGGCTGGTGTAAGTGGCATAAAGTATTGTTTATATATTGGCTTAATTTACCCAACAAAGGCAGGCATTAAATGAAAATGGAATCGAAAAAACGTCCGACCAAGTTTGAAACTTTCCAATCAAATTTAATTTTGGTCGGACATTTTTCCAGACAAATTTTGAACGTTATTTCAGACTCTGAAAATCATTCTAAACCATGGGCGGATTTCGACGGTTAGGGGTGTTACCCCCCCCCCCCTAGAATCTCTCTAACCCCTCTTATAAAGTGTTAAACCCCACCAAAATTTCGCTTCACCCCTCCTATTTTGTGTGAAAGTCTTTAACCCTAACGCCTAACCCCAGCTGAAGTTCACTCAGTGTTGCTGCTTGCACCCCACTAGAAATTTTCCACCCCTCTTTTAAAAAAATGAAAATCTTCCCTTGTTCTAAACTATTCTGCCTGGAGTTCGAGTAAGTGCCAGCTTATGCAGTGTTACCGTAGTAGGAAATAAGAAGCATTCTTTTCACATACAAATGAGGTGAAATTGTTACCTGGCAAACCATATATTATAGGAATTGATCACAGATTAGAGAACAACAACAACACTACAACTAAATCATATACTAATGATATTTTCTGTGTTGGTGCAATGTACTCAGGTGAATAAGATGCTTGTGATGTTACTCTGAGTGTATATCCACACCGGGCAAGCTTGAAAAATGAAAAACATTGCACCAACACAGAAAATATCATTATTACTAGATTACATTGATGTCGAAGGAACTAGATTCTGTTCCGAAGTATCACATACTCGAACCGACCAGACCGCGTAGCTCAGTTGGCAGAGCATTGGGCTAGCATTCCAAAGGTCGTAGGTTCGATTCCCACCGTAGTCAGGCATATTTTTCAAGCTTGCCCGGTGTGGATATACACTCAGAGTAACATCACAAGCATCTAAATCATATACTGTTTGTTTGAAGGCAAAACTAGTGATCCTACGTTAATGACTACTTCCTTTCACTCATTTAGATAAGCGCAGAGTCAATTTTAATCGTTTTCGCAAAACATCTTTGGTGAAGGATATGGAAGTTCATATTGTAGACCTAAAGAGCAGCCAAGAAACATCAGATGAACAAATGAAGAGTCCTGAAGGTAAAACAGGGAAGGAATCGTCAAGATTAACCGAAACACGCAAATCTCATTGTGGTGAAGAAATACGTTGTCCACTCTGTAATGATATTGTTACTGAAGCAGGATGCATCACTTGCCCGAAGACTAGCGATGCAGAATCACCTGATGATGAAGTGTCACCAGATGGATTTTTGATTTCTGCTAAGAAGAAGAATGAGGAATCCCCGGGATCTGGATTTAGAAACGATACTTCAGAAACTGATGAAACACAAACAGAACGTAAAGAACAAGTAAATATTTTCTCGTCAGAATCTCAAGACAGTGATTTTGTTGAAACATCAGACGTTCCTGGTTCAAATATCACTCAAGATGATTTATTTTGTCCCCTCTGTAACGAGCCAAAATCAAAGATTGGTTGCGGATGTTCTGACCAAAGTGAAGGACATTCAGCGTCAAAAACTTTAGGGTTTTATTCCAGAACTAGAATCAGTGTTCTTCACAGGAAATACGAAGGTGGGTAGTGCTTTCACTTTATTTTCAGCAAGTGTTCAGCACCTAGTCGGGCCAAAAAAAAATGTGGGTTTCCGGTTTCTTCTTATAAAAACATAGGTAGGGTAGGTCGGTTTTAACTTTTTTTTTTTAACTTTTTTTTTTAATTTTCCTAACAACCGGACGCCATTTTGGTTAGTCAGTGCTTCCACATCCAAAGATAAATTTCCCTAATATTGCCTCAAATTTCAATTTTCCACAAACTTTTCCCTCTAAGTGGAAACACTTACAAGCATGATCCAATAAAAAAGTTTAGGGTCGGGATTTCGACGTCCAAAAGCTAGGTAGGGTCGGGAAACCGGAAACCCACATTTTTTTTTTGGCCTCGTCAACGTCAGAACATATAATATTAGAGAATTTCAATTTCCAGAGAATTTCAATTTCCAGAGAATTCCAATTTCCCTTGGAGACTGTGCCTACGTGGCGATCGGGCATTCTGGCGGAGCTTCCGATCTCGGCTCGGGACCGCTCTAGGGTGTTTTTTTCTCTTTTTATAGTTCTTCTATTATTTAACTTTCCATTATCTTAACTTTAAATAGTTTATTCCCACCGTGGCCAGGCATATTTTTCAAGCCTGCCTGGTGTGGATATACACTCAGAGTAACATCACAAGCATCTTATTCACCTGAGTACATTACACCAACACAGAAAATATCATAGTTTATTATTATTAACTTTTTCTTTGGGTTAGTAACATGTATATTCTGCTGACCCCAGCTAATAATCCTCATCCTGAGGGGTTTGCTGTATTGGAAGACACCACGTAAATTTATTACTGCAAAGCTTTCGATCCGTAAGCCCGGATCTTCATCAATTCTTCAGATATTTACGTGGTGTTTCCACAAACAAAAGTATTGTATGTTTTGTCGCCATGCAAACCTACAAAGAACTTATAACTTCAGAACAGTTTACATAGCTTTTATAGAAGCAAGAAAATTTCACTGAGTATTTTGATATTTTAAAGGGTGTTCTAAAATTTCAACAAAACGGAAGAGAGTTTCGCTCAATACAAAGGCAAGCATATACAGTATTTATATTGGAGTGAATAAAACGTTTCTCTGTCCTAATGAACAAAATTTTGATCGAGACAAGTCTAGACGAAAATTTCATCACAGCTTGAAAGAGGCTCAAAGAGCATCACAAAATTAGTATTAAATATCCCGAAGGTTCGTTGCGAAATGTTGTAAAATGCGGATAATATAGCCCTGCGAAATTTGCCGTTTTTCAGTCATTTTGTATTACGCGCGGGAAATCGATACCTTTTTTCAGAAAGCGGTATCAATTTCCTGTGCGTAATACAAAATGACTGAAAAACAGGGCTATATATTATCCGCATTTTACAACATTTCGCAACGAAACTTCGGAATATTACTAATTTTGTGATGCTCTTTCAAACTGTGATGAAATTTTTGTCTAGACTTGTCTATATCAAAATTTTGTTCATTGGGTAATAGGTCCATTGATATTTTTAATTTCATTTTTTTTATTTAGAAAAACGCCAAGGCAAAAAAGAAAGATCCGAAGCAGACAACACTTGGCACGCCAGGTAAGATAATGTGATAATCAGGGACGTAACTAGACGCGATATTTTTTTTTGGGGGGGGTGCATATTCATATATTCATTCATATATTCATTTCAAAAGAAATCTGTCGGGCAGAACACGAATAGTAGAGACATTACGATTTTAGGACGGCAACGCGACGGCCAAAACAAACTCCTTCAAATAAATGGTAGTAAAGATAGTTCGTCGTATATTATCAATCGTATGAATTTAATACAGTCTTAGAAGTTGAAGACATGGGTTTTATGTTTGGGAAGAGTTCTGCTGAACCCAGTTTGAAGTTGCACTTGTTGTGGCTTGGAATGCAGTCGTTGTATCAAGACATGAAAATCTGTGATTTGGCGTTGTAAAAAGAGCGAGGACAATGTCTACATTTTTATATATTGTAATTACTCAATTATTGGTAGCCGTTGCCGTCCTAAAATTGTAAGGTCTCTAGGTGAATATCAACTGTCCCAAAAGAGAAGGTGCGAACGAGACTATATAGAAGTAAGGAGCCCCATACAAAGCACCTCCCTTCTCTAATAAGTAGTAACATATATATATATATATATATATATATATATATATATATATATATATATATATATATATATATATATATATATATATATATATATATATATA